ATACCCAGGAAATAAGACACTGTGAGGAAGCCTAATTATTAGAAATGTCTCTTCCTGATTACGTCTGAACATATTTAATGAGATTTAATCCATCTCATAGAATATTGTGTAGATGAAAAGAATTTCATCTGTTTGACATTCTTAACACTAAACCCTAGGCCTAGCACACAAGACCCAGACCCTAGTACCTAAAACACTAACAGTCGGGTTTGTCGTCCCTAACACTGTTAATTCAAACTGTCGTTTACTGGATTAGTTGAAGTTTGGCATCAAAACCGCCGGATGCCGGCTAAGTGCTCTAGAGGTTAGACGTCCACGCACGAGCCCGTTATGTTCTGGTTTCGAATATCACGAGCGGGATTGCGGGCGGGCACTGAGAAGGAGTCCCGTAATAGGACGAAATGGCAGTCCAGTGCTTCCAAGTTTTCATGACGGTTTAGTTTCAATTGACTCATGAATTCAACTACTAAATTACTATAATATCCACAAAAACTCCTTTCTGATAATTATTTGTTCACCAATAAGTTTGATCACATAAATTTCAACCACTATTTAACATTATTTAGTCTTCATGATGATATCTGTAAGGCCGTTAATTACGTTTAAGACGAAGAGAATTGAGCTGTTTAACAAATATTCGTCATTTCAATTAAATTGCTGTTTACTATGAATATGTAGTTATGTCACCGATGATCACAATATACAATCGTATTGTTAGGTATAATTTATTTTAGAATAAAGTACACTAAGTAACTTGTTAAATCGAATCGCTGTACCTCCTCCTATTTTTACTTTAGTTAAAATATTCACACTTAATCATAATTTATTCGAACTGGCATCCCTGTTATTGTTATTTGACGAATGTATTAACAATGTAAATAGAAGAATATGTTTCAATCATTAAAATTGGAACCAATGAAAATAAAACAAATAAAAATACGGTAATTTTCCTAATAACTTAATTCAACCGAAAACCACTTTGAAAATCAGGGAATTCTCGATATTTATCTCATTTCCGTTTAGATTATATCACCTTTATGTTATATAAACTCACATGGAATCAATTTCAAGTTCTATAAATCTTTAATGGATTAAGAAAACTCAAGAAAGTGAACGATATTTTAAAGTTGTACAAATATACCCATTAATAGGCCACTTATAGAATCGCCTTTTAATTATTTGGAACTGAGTTTAAGACAAATTTCCCGATGTCATGATATAAAGTCTTTATCAAGGCATTTGATCAAACAAAAATTCGGATTTTTTTCATTGACATCATGAACCGATTGATGTTAGGCCACCACTGAAAACCAGCCTTTTCATCCTATTATAGCGCGCCTCAGAAGTGCCCATCCACGATCCCTCTTGAGGGATTTGAACCCGGGGCCTTCAGTCTTGCTCGCGAACGCTCAACCTCTATGCTATTGAGCCGGGATCCAACGATGTTACTGTCTAACCCCAACCAACTAAAGAAACTGCGCAACCATCTTATATTGTACTGAGGTAGATACTTGTCTCCACCCGACATTGATTAGCTCCACTGGTCCGATGAATGAATATGGCTTGCTAATGTTGAAAATGTTAATAAATAAATTAGAATTTAATAATCTTATGAACACTATATGACCTACAGATTCTACGCTTAACTCTATATAAGGTCATGTGTAAGCACTAATTGAATGTTTTGAACCGTTTTTTTGCCATAGTTTATTATAATTTTCCTCACAAAAAAGTTTTATAGACATGGTCACACTAAGCTCATTTACTATAGAAAGTAAAAGAAACAACTATCAACTGACAACAAATTACCACACAACGATTATATTAATATCGATAGTAATTGTTAATTTATTCGATGAATCCAATTATCCTCAATAAAAAATAAAGTTAATATCATATTTGTATCGTCTATTCAGTTCATATTTAGACATCACGTGTGAACCGTTAAATTTCATCTAATAGACTATAAACTACAATTATTCAATACCGTGTTGAATAAATAATTATTGTTATTAGCTTAAATGACATTCCTTGTTTTACTATAGTGAAATTATAAGCAGTTAATTTGATCATATTCTATAGTTTGAATGACAACCAATTATCTATATTATTTACTTTTAATTTATGTGAAACTCTTCAATAACACTGTGATTAGTAATAGCTAATAAATATCATTTAATTATCATTAAATTTTTCAGTTAAATTTTGATATTTCACCTTGTTTATAATTTATAAGTCTTATCTACCGTACGTATATAAACATGGTAATGCCCGAAAGACTCTTGTATTATTTTATGATGAATCTTTAATGAGAAAAATAAACGTGTTCAATGAAATTCTAATTTCAAATGTAATAAAATAGCACAGAACTACCTAGTTACACTATAATGATTCACATGTTCCTACTTTTATCTATGGATAATATTGATTGATATGCACAATATTAAGTAAACTTCATGAAATATCATCAGTAAGCATTCATAGTGTAAGTTTGTTACAGAGTAGACTGATTGAAGAATGACTTTTAATGTGATTCTTTTTATTTGATATCCATTATTTTCTGGTAGATTTTGATGATTCCTTATTCAGTGATCAAAATATAGGATTTGATATCATTTGCGTGTATTTACTGATTCAGCTGATCTTGCGACAATAGTTATATCGATTGTACCAAAAGTTAACTCTACTTTTTACTATTACACTTGATTGCTATTGGCCATTTAGGAGGAAAAAACTAAAGCATTTAGATTGAAATACACTGTATTACATTACGTTTACCTAACATAGTTTGGTCTTATATTTCATATGTGACAAAAGGCTAGGATGGTGTTTGAAGCAAACGATAGTGAATTCAAGTCCAGGAGTAATAGTCACCCTTGAAAGGCAGGTACACGAAGCACACAAGTTGCATTTTGGACGAATGGTGCCTAATAGATCCCACTAATAAACAAGTTCCATCTATTCGATGTTAGCCCTTGTTTTAGCTTTCAAAATAATTTATAAAACACATTCCCCTTCCATTTTGAAAATAAAATGTAATCAACTATTTTATTGATTCATTAAACCATTTATTTATTTTCTTCATTATTTTTATATCTGTTGCTCATCATATATGTATTTAGGGGTATTTGATATCACCATGAATAAACATTCAAAATGATATTGGTTAAGAGTAAAAGCTACATACTATTTCCATAATCTTGATTAACTGCTTTAATGAGAATTTTAAGGTTATAAATTATTTTAATTCCAACTGAAGCATTTCGTTTTAAAGCAACACTTAAACAACTAGAAAGCAATAACAACATAACCCATACTGAATGTTTTTACTCAAATGCGTTAAACTATCTCAGATTTAAAAAAAACTATTCAAAACTCAATGATGCAAACCTGTTATATCTAATACGTTTGTTATTCAATGTTCATTTCATTTTTGATCATTGTTGAAAAACAAGTTCTTCTTAAAACCTGGTTTTATTTGCTTCAGATAAAAATGTCGGATTGTTTTTTAGCCTAAGGTATTGAATTCAAGGGAAATGAATGCACAAGTATATTTGTGGATTTAAAATGTAATATCCAATCGTAAGGAGGGTCTGTACACTGATGCTTGTAAATAATCCTTAAGTGAATGTATACGAAAATAAGCATGTCATCTACATGATCTCTTATGCCTTAAATAATGTACATATTATTTCTATTTGAATTTAACATTTTGATTATCTTATCCATTTGGTTTCAGTAACAAGTGATTCATTCACATGGAGATTTATGAGTTTTAAAAACTATTTTCAATTCCTTAGTGACATTTGAACTATGGTTGGTAGAATAGTTACGGTAGACATGTTGAAAAAAGAATAATTTTACAGTTTAAACACAATCTTATAGTATTCAAAGAGAATTATTTCGGTATATGCACTGTTTTTTTTTCGGTATTGGCTAGATTCCAATTAAGATATGCTCACTTTTCATTGGTCACTATAAAACCATTTCTTTTAACCAATCAAATTCATTGATAAACATTACATTTCACTCGTAATAGAAATTATTAAGCTACAAATTATTTATTTTTTTAAAAAAAACAAAATCGTTAACTGAATCTTGTATACTTTACTATGACATCTTTCATGAATACCTAAACGTACTCCATAGTAATTGAAAGAATGTCTGGAATTCAGTGATTAATATATATTGGACTGCTGAATAATATCGATGAAGATCGATATTCACGCAATAATTTGAATAATTAAGCAAGAAAAAAACCTTTAAAACATAACTGTTTTGTTGGCGATCACGCAAACTTTATTAAAGAACATGTATGAAGTGATTTATTCCTATTTGTAGAATCTATACAAACTAATAAATACGATTTTGAGGATACTAAAAATACCAGTAGTCAGATAAAATTACATAATCAATTGGTAAGTACCGGATCATTTAAATGATTTTCATTATTATTATTATTATTATTATTATTATTATTAAATGCTTATTACAAATTTATTAAAGATCAAACAGAATATTAGTAGAAATATAGTTAATCACATAATGAATCTTGATAACGTTTTATTGCAGTTATTACATTACCTAATTAGACCGTTCATTAAATAAGGCAAGCGTGTAATCTTTAAATAAAAGTACTTTTTTGTGTTCCAATCAGTATCAATATTAATTATTCATTTTGTCACTACCTTCGTAACATATACAAATTATAAAACAGTGTAAAAGTGAATAGAATATATAACCATTCTATTATTTATATATTTACTATACATTCACAGCATTTATGACTTACTAAACAATATAAACCAAGTATGTTTAAAATAATGTTTTATTCAAAAATTGAATAACATTTCATGGAAAACACAACGAAATTAAGGGAACAAAACATAAACTTAGAATATTCTAAATAAGCTTAATATTCATTATACTCAGTCAGAATTCAAATTATCAAAAGGTAAATCAGCAATAAATTGATCAGTTTTCTTTTCTCATTATATTGTCTAAGGGAACATTTTGACCTTATCGATAACCATCATCATCATCATCATCATCATCATCATCATCATCATCATCATCATCATCATCATCATCATCATCATCATCATCATCATCATCATCATCATCATCATCATCATCATCATCATCATCATCATCATCATCATCATCATCATCATCGTCATCATCATCATCATCATCATCATCATCATCATCATCATCATCATCATCATCATCATCATCATCATCATCATGTCGTACAGACGATTTGTCGACATTTGTCTAAAAGCCGTTATATGCTATTTAATCGTATTATTTCCTAAATCTACGTTTTGCCAAATGGCACATTAGAAATCTTAATTAGTTATAAGTAGAGACAGGGTGATTGTATAGATCTTAAAAAACATCGGTTAATCATCTTAGGTTCTTTTCTGCGGATTGCTATCATAGTTTATGACATAAAAGTACTTTTATATCTTTCATAATTAAACAACCTGAAGTTAAACTTTGTACTCTCTGAAGTTATATGAAACATTTTTGTGAACCATCTATGTTCACGAAATTTTGAAGTCTAAATAATAATAATAAGAAGAAGAAGAATGGATTGAAATCATTTTATTGTGTATAAACATTTCAGTCACACAAAAAGAAACACTGTAACATGTCCGGCATTACTGAATACAACCTGTTAATTAGCTCAAGTAGAAAGTGTTAAATCGATCTGAAAAATAGGGAGCATTGGAACAAGGTGGTTGATTAAGGTGACTATCTCATATGAAGAAACTATTCTATTTAACCATATTTTATGATGTTCAAATAGAACAGTATTTACTATTTTTCAGTTTTATTTAAAACAACGATTTTAATGAACACAAAAATCCAATTTTGGTAACCAATATATTGGGTAGTTAATATTTTACGAATAAATTTAATCACCTATTCATGATTTCAATCCATTTGGATGGATTTAATTTTTGACTTTGGAAATCATTCTATAAATAAAGAGTTTATGGGATCAAAATCCATGCTTCATTGAAAAAAAAAATGATTACAAACAAAATGTGCTTGAACAAGTCTGGCAATGTTTTATCTTATTATGAGTTTGAAACTCTATGATTGATTAAATTAAAAGTTTAAACATGATTTTGAGCAAACCGGACATTGAACTTTATTGATTATGTTACTTTGAACTATCTTAATTTTTATTGGTATATAAAATGCAGATATTTACAAAAACAAGATCATATCTATTCTGAATATATTCCTAGTTATCAAAAAGGTTTGTTTCTACTTACTTGTCTTATGGCAAAAAAGGCTGTGAAATTTAAGAAAATCCAACATTTGTACTAAATGATTGAGATATTTTCAGTTATTTAGTATTGATTTGAAAAGAAACTGAACTGGTTACAATGTACATAATGAAGTCGATATACTGCTCAACGTATCTAAACCAGTTTATTGATGACATCATTTGTAATACCATATTTTATGGAATCATCTATCCTTGTAAAATAATTTATACCTTTCAAATACAAGTCCATATAGTTGAAGTAATTAATTCACTAATTTGTTTTCATTGAAACAACAGTCTTAAGTAAGACTATTAAAAAAATATAAATCTGATAGTTGTTAAGGTGTTTATTTGTACTTAAAACAAACAAACAATTTAACATTTCACTTACACTAAAAACAAGAAAAAAAAAGAGTTTTTCTACAATGGATTCATTTACTAAACGTTTTTGAATTCTCCTTTCAATTAAAACTGTTTTACAAATACATTATTCAAAAGATTCACATGTATACTTACATCTATATAGAAGCTGAATGTAATTAATAATAGAAATAAAAACAGGGGTATTTAGAGAATTAGATAAGATCACTAGAAAGATTATTTATATCAAATGATACTCAACATTCTATAGAAAGGAATAAAAATTCTAAGAAAAGAATGGTTGGTTAGGGGGTTAGTTTTTGTTGTTAAGTATAAAAATGATCTAATCATTAAACTATACGTTTTAACATTAGAAAAACAAAACAAGAAATTGTAAAAATGTTATTTCATAGTTGGTTATAAACAAAATATTGTACTGTAAAGTCTACAGTAATGGACATCAAATTATTTCCGCTGCCACTGGTTTTTTTCACAGCCAGTTAATGCTGATTAATAACTATATAAATTTCCTGTTTTTGTAAAAAAAAGTTATTTACTGAGTGAATATTAAGTTTTTTAGCAGTTGAATTCACGAATCACTGATCGTACATAAATATGGCTAAGGAGTCCCATATTGGAACAAAACAGCCGTCCATTACTTCCTGATTTTCAATGGTAATCTAGTTTAGTTGGGTTCGTGGGATCGACTTTTAAAATTGCTACAATTCTAACGAATCCCATACTCATAATTATATTTTCTTGACCTATAAGCGGCGTTTATAAAAGTGGTATATATATATATAAACTAAGTGGATGTATAGAGCAAATTATTCTTCTAAAACTTCAAACTTCTATAGATTTTTTAGTATTTTCGACATTTTATCAGTGAATAACTACCAAGATGTGCTATTTTGTCGCAACGAGTTATAATGCATCCAAAAAAAATGCGAACTCGGATTTGTTTCTCAAATTAGTGACTTCATTACAATGTCAAAGCTAGTCATAAATGTTAGTTGTGCTGAAGTCTATAAGGAAAGGATATTCAAACTAAAGTTTATTACATATCATTATAAAATTCACTAGATCCTTTTGTTCTTTATGTAAACTAGTTTAACTATATTATGTGGATTTTCAAGAAATCTTTTAATGGTCCCTGTAATTATCAAATAAAAGGCATTCAGTAAAAAAATATAAATTTTAGCAAAAATACTCGATTTATCCTTTACGTAAGGTATATAGGAAAGAATTAAACAGGCATTTTTCATAGATTTCTAATTGCCTTCATTGAGATCATAAGTCGATCAATGTTAGACTACCATTAAAAACCTGGAAGCACTTCATAGCTGCTTCTTCCTATTACGGAACCAAGTTCATCGATAGCGAAACATATAATTGAGAAGGGGCACAAAATTACCATTAATACAGCATTTAGAACGTTGTATAGAAATTGTCAAGGTCGAATTCCTAAGTTTATTGAAGCCTTGGCTATTCGTAAATTTAAACCCCCTTATGTGTACAAAAACAATTTGTCGTAACCTTGAATTTACCTTGGTAATCCTTAAGTCATTCTATGGCCTAGGATAACGTGACAATTTCTTATTCTTTCTCTCCCGTTTGTTATTTTACTTGAACTTTCATTTAATTGACCTTTATTAATTTTCATATAAAATTGTCCTGACAAGTATATGTGTGACCAGATTGTTCGAAATGTGTAGCGCAAATACATCACATTTTTCGGATCAACTCCGTCTTCTCATTGTTCTATCGATATTATGGAACGCTTCACTGGTGAACAACCACGATCACACATGTAAGATTTCAATTCATGGCTTTATCTCATGTTAACATTTAACCATTAGACCACTGAGCCGGTATCCAATAATAATCATTTCGAAAATTACTCACTTGTTTCACGCTTTCATTAAACAAATCAAATTTTGATCAATATTTGAAATGAGTTTATTTTTCATTTAATTACCATGACAAATATTATCCTGTGTCCAATCGATTTATTTTTTCTAATAAAATAAATCCAATTTTAATTTGATCAACTTTCATTCAGAAAATAAATAATGTATCATCGGTTAAATGGTATGTATATTAAATTTTGATTTATGCTTTTAGAATAGTATAGAAATAAAGTGATTTGTTTTGCTTTTCTTTGTTTTGTTCTTCTTTTCATTTCTAACATTTCAATAGAGTTTTAATAGGAATAATTAGATTCAATAAAATAAAATAGATAAAAGATATTACTGACAGTGTTTAATTACGATTATAGTTAAAGTACATAAACAAAATTAGAAATTATTTTTCTTGATTAGATATAAATAAATGAAACACCCGCTAAATTTATGGATTTTTCCTACAGTGAATCATCATAAAATATCTAATGATTCATCTTTAAAATTTATTGATATATAGAGCTGTGGGTAATTTTCAACAGTCTTATTCACTTTTTTTTGAGTATTAACGAGAGTACTAACCTGTCGAAGTTTGGTAATCATTGAAAACCCATAAGTATTTGATAGCCGTTTTGTCCTAATATGCGGTTTCTTCATTGTGCTCATTCATGATCCCATCATCATTGTAGATTGAACGTAGAAATCCCTTTCCAACAATCAACTGCTATATTATTTGGAATTATTTCCTTTTCACTGAAATTATTATGCGTAAATCAATTTATGTCCCACCTAGCATGTTCTTACTTTTTTTATTTTTGAGCCAAATCAATAGTTTATTTAAAATTTATACACTTATTGTACATCTTGTTCTGCAAACTAACATGCATTGGCAGATTGATACAAAAAAAGGTAGGCAAAATTTAAAAATACGAGCTCATTGTTTGAAATGAGATCTACAAAATATTTTGACTGATCATTTGTTAAAGGGATGTTAATAATGTAAACCATACAATTCGATTTAATTGTTCTTGACGGTATTTTATATTCAGTTATCTTCGGAGTATATGGAGCAATGACCATGGATTTTGTCAGGACATAGTTATTATTATTAGTGGCTTTATTCAATATTATATTTTTGGTGCAATATAGAATTATCAGCACAAAGTAGCTCAACAAGTTTCATTTTTTATTTCTTGATCGATCCTGACGATGAATATTTAGTGATCCCATGCTAGATGTTAACAGTGCAGGCATAGACATCTGAATAATATTCATTATTCTCAATCTATATTGCCAGCCACCACGTTGTCTCTCATTATACTTTTTTGTAACTTGTACAGCTAAAGACGGTAAACTTTTCATTAACGATGTCTTTATTGAGGGATGCATGAAAAACAAATATACACAAAAAAACACCTGAAAAGTGACAAAATTACATTGTAAGAGTTTCTGAAAAAAACAGATATTTCATAATTGCTGTAAAATGATATTATGCAATAGTGCTACATCTGAAAACACCTATTATTTGTTAACTTAACATTGTCCTAGGAGATGTAGTGAGTATAAGGTATGATCCAAATATGTTATAGTGATGATTTGAATTTTCTTATCAGACAATAATAAACGAATTACTTGAGAAAAATAGATTTTTTAGGTTATTCGCAGAATCTGTCATTTACTTAATAAGTTTGACTTGATTAAATGTACTTATCTAATCTGAATATAT